ATACATTTTACAAATGTCCCCTGTTAGGGCAACCGAATGTGAGCGAAAATGAATTAGGGTGTCGGCTAGTTTTTCCTGTATGGTTGGACCCATCACTAATACTTCGTTTAACGAATAACCAGTTGTTGTCAGTGCTGATCCGTCGAAGACTACCCTAAGTTTTGTTGTTGTGCTTTCGTTCTTGAGCACGCAATGGTTAGGCATGAAATATGTGGGGACCGATGGCGGCGGCTTCGATATAGGAGACATTTGTTGAAGCTCGCAATCCTCTTTCATAAATGATACGTATAGTGATTTCAAATCATCATTAAGTTGAAGACGTCTTTCAAGAGTCAGGAACCGCCGCAACAGCTGCTGGTATGAATCCCCAAGTAGGTGTACGCTGGGCTTTACGGGCAGCCGAACCGAATATTCGCCTGTCGCCATGCGACTATAGTTTGCATTGAAGTAAGCTTCGCAATCGATTTTCTCCTTCGTTGCTCTCCGAATAGGTTCAAAGCTGTTGTCTATTTCCCAAAATGACCGCACTATGTCATTAGTGCATCGATGATCGGTTTCCGAATCTAGTGAATTTGTTGCTGTAGTTGTAAGTGGGAATAGCTTCGACGATATACCTCGACCTCCAGATACCACCCAGCCGAGACGAGTTTTCTGCAAAATTTGGTATTTTTTCAGGCGAATTTGACCAATGCAAAGTAAATCAAAGAATATACCGGCCATTATCAGAAGATCCACACGTTGTGTCTTATGGAATTCGGGATCAGCAAGGTTGATGTTCGCCGGAATATCTCAACCAGTGATGTCAAGCGGATAATTCGGTTGATGCTCGGTTATTGTTTGAGTTACGGCTGAGGCTAGGCTCGCGGTGAAACCGTTGTGTAGTGACTGAATGGTGATGTTAATGCTGGAATTAACAACGAGTCCTGAATCTCCAATACCCGAAACTGCGACAGACGATTTTGATTTTTTAAGCTGTAATTGATGAGCAAGTCTCGTCGTTATAAAATTAAGCTGCGAATCTGAATCGAGAATGGCGCGACATGGTACCAGAGAGTCCACGCTGTTCTGAATTAAGACAACGGCAGTCGCAAGTAGCACACATTCGTTTGAGCCGGCGTGTGAAGTGGATGAGAGTGAGTCGCTGCTTGTTGTCATGGCAACGAGAGCTGCTGGCTGTGGTGGACTAGGTGAGACTTCAGCTGCACTAGGCATTGTCTGATCTGCTTGAGAAAAATTCAGTAGCGTATGGTGCTTCAGTGAGCACCGGCGGCACGCAGAAGACTTGCATTGCTGCACGTGATCGCCTGGTTTAAGGCAATTTATGCACAGCTGAGCTCTTTTGGATTCCTTCCAGCGGTCATTTGTGCTTAAATTGGCGAACGATGGGCAAGAATAGACGACGTGGTCGTGCTTATTACAGACCGAACAGGTTTTTTGAGTAGCCTTTGAAATGATAAAGGTTTTACGAAACTATGCGCTAGGTGTCTGTGTTACCATAGCGAGAGTCATATTCTCCAGAGTCTGGCAC